GTTCAATGTTTTATAGCAAATAGATGACCAAATGTGTGTTTACAGGACACTGCACAGCTTTTTATTGGGGAAGCAGGAAACATACATGTGTGACATTTCAAATAGGTGCTGATGGAAAAGAGAAGTTTGAGAGACAAAGAAGGGGACAAAAGCATTTCAAGTGGAAGCCCAGAAGAGAGAAAGAAAGAATGCTTGGAGAGTTATGGCAGGAGGTGAGAAAATCAAGGCACAATGATGAAGGCTCTTGCATTCATTTCCTAGGGCTGCTGTAACACATTACCACAAATATGGTGACTTGAAACAACATAAATTTATTCTCTGACAGTTCTGGAGGCCAGAACTCCAAAATCAAGGCATTGAGAAGATTGATTTTTTTCTGAGAGAATCTGTTTCACACTTCTCTCCTAGAATGAGGTGGCCTCCAATAATCCTTGATATTCCTTGGCTTGTAGACCCATCGCTCCATCTGTACCTCAGTCTTCATACCACCTCCTCCTCTGTGTGTCTCTGTGTCTTCTCTTTTGCACATATAAGGAAAAGTATCACTGGATTTAGAACCTACCCGAAATCCAGGATGATCTTATCTTGAGATCCTTAACTTAATTACATCTGCAAAGACCCTCTTCCAAGTAAGGTGACATTCACAGATTCTGATGGACATATCTTTATGGAGCTGCAGTTTGACGCATTACATGCCTTTTGACAAGGCCTTAATGTGCCATTTTTATGTTTGTTATGTGGAAGTTGATACTGGTTGGTAGAGGATGGACAGATAATGAAGGCTTGAATTAATGAAGCAGGCTTGGAGAAGAAAGCTGTATTTAAACAGAAATTTCCACAGTAAAATATACAGGATTGAGTGATTTCAGGTGGGCAGGAATGAGAGTGATCTTGGAGATAAGAAATTTGACGTGCTTGTGAAACATTTAGGAGCAGATATTTTGCAGTAGTGGCATAATCATGCCACTGCACTTTTTTGGGAAGTGGAGTGAGACTCTGTCTCACAAAAGAAAGAAAGAAAGGCAAGAAAAAGAAAGAAAGAGAAAGAGAAAGAGAAAGAAAAAGAAAAGAAAAAAGAAGGGGGGCTCTGGGGTTCAGGAGAGAGTTTGTGTGAGTTGTTAGATGAGTGGCTCTCGGTTAACCACACCTGTGAGTATTCCTGTCCCTTTCCCTCTCTCAACTGATGTTGCACTTGGCTATATAATTGGCTTTGACCAGTGGGACATTAACAAGTATTATACAGACGTAATAGGCTCTTGCATATTGGACTTATCCTCTTGCAACACCTGCTCTTGAAACCCAGCTGCCATGTTGTAATGAAGGACAGGTTATCCTACTGGAAACAGAAGCCATGTAAAGAAGACCTGGAAAATGAGCTACAATGTGGAAAGAGGCCTCTTGGAGAAGAACTGAGTAGCCTCAGCCACAAGTCAGCACTGAGGCCCTAGATACATACAAGAGGCCTTCCTGGACCTTTGAGCATAGTCCAGCTGCCGGCTGAATGCAGCCAAATGAGTGACTTCAGCCAATACCAAGTGAAAGAGAAGAACCACTAGTTATCCTACAGAATTGTGAATAGGAAAATCATTGTTTTAAGTAACCAAGCTTTCATTTGCCCTTTACATATTTGATCAGGCTCACTGGTCACACCGTAAAAGTCAGTAATGTCTGTTTTAGGAGATGAACGATTAGGAGGCAAATTTAGGAAACAGAAGTTGATTGGGCTTTAAAAGGTTAATACCAAGTTGTGAGATATTGGTAAGGGTGGGATGGAACCATGAGTAGATCAGAGGTTAGCCTGGCGGATGTCTTTGGAGGAGTTATGTGTCTGCTCTAGTTTTCAATGTAACCATTAGCAAAATGTGGAAAGTGTAGTATTCGATAAACTATAAGGTTCCATCCAGTACTAGAATGTAATGGGTCCCCTTTGGAATAACAAAAGTTATCTTTCCTGCCAGCCAATGTTCTGCATATTGAAAGTACTCAATAAATGCTAATTGGCCATGATAAAGAAATGAATACTTCGATTAAAAAGGAACCCCTTATTCTTGAAAAATACAAATAGGACGACTCCTTTATCTTCTTTAATAAGAGGCTACTTGGACAATATTTACAGCTTGGTAGAGATGAGAAAGGGTAGATGGAGAAGCCTACAGAGCCTCTTCCTTGCTCTGAGTGATCTGTCTTCACAGTATCATACTTTTCCAGGTGTGATAGTGCCCTGGGGGATTCTGTTGACTGCATAGTATCTTCACAATGTCATAACCTTTCAGGTTTGATGGCTTGTGCCTGAGGGGGCTCTATTGACTGCAGTTGTTGTCATAGAGTGTATTATAGATAGTTTTGATGGAATTAGCAGATAAGCAGAGGAGGGCAGAATTACACAGAAAATTATTTGGGGCTATATTTTCTACAGGGAAATATATTTTTATTTTATTTACCAAAGGAACACTTTCAAGGTTCCACATTGGGCCATTCTTTCCTAATGGGGCCTTTTCCATTATTTCCTAAAGGAACCTCTTCAAGATTCTATATAGGACCAAGTATCTCCCTTTCACCCCTCCAGATCTTATATAGATCCTCCTGTGTCCCCTCCTACTCTTTTCCCAGTGAGGATGAGCTATCAATAGGCTCCAATACCTTCTAGCATATATCTGGTCACTGATAGGAGGGAGAGAAAAGAGTGAGTTCAAGCTATTATTAATATTTATTCCTAATATCCCTTCTTTAAAGTTAGCTTAAGCTGTTGATGCCTTTTTTTTTTGAAACGGAGTCTTACTCCGTTGCCCATGCTGGAGTGCAGTGGCACGGTCTTGGCTCACTGCAACCTCAGCCTCCCAGGTTCAAGCAGTTCTCCTATCTCAGCCTTTCGAGTAGCTGGGATTACAGATGTGTGCCACCACACTCAGCTAATTTTTTGTCTTTTTAGTAGAGACAGGATTTCACTATGTTGGCCAGGCTTGCCTTGAACTCCTGACTCAAGTGATCTGCCCACCTTAGCCTCCCAAACTGCTGGGACTACAGGCATGAGCCAACACACCTGGCCTGTTGATGCCGTTTGATGGGCTTTCACTGCCCCCCTCAAGACAGTACTCACTATCCAATCCTCCTTCCTTCCAAGTCCTAGTAACTTTTTCCTCCTTTTCCCCTCATCTGTAGGAGTGGTAACTTCTCTACTGCTGTGAGCCCCAGGTTTCTTCACTATCCCTGTGGTTTATCTATATTCTACCTTTGTAATTGGTTCCTTTATAAATTAATCTTCTTGGAATTTGAGTGTGCTCTTTCATGTTAGGACTGTGACTAATACACATACCATTCTGCAGATTGAGAATGAAGATAAACGGCAGTGTGGTCACACCAACACACATCTTATTATCAGCCCTCCATCACTAGCCCTCTGGACTATCTTATATGTGCTGTTTGTCACTTTCTCATTTTCTTCCCCAACCATTAACTTAGTGATCTCAGATACCAAGCAGGAGAACATGGCTACAGCCAATTCAAAACCAAGCCCAAAATGTTGAATTCACTTTTTTGGATTTCTCTTCTATTGCTTTCCTTATCCTTCCCAGTATTATTCTCTATTCTCACTTCTCTTGGTGCTGTAGACTGAGATCTTCAGTCAAAAGCACAGGTTTTTGTCTTGGTCTTCTTTTGTCCCCAGAGCCTGGAACATGATAAATGCTTAACAACTGCGTGTATAATGAATACATGGAAGATGGAATTAAGGAAGTGTCTTTATTAAGCTTTCTGTTTCTAGGAAGCCCAGGGTTGGTCTACTTCTCCCCCTTCCCTGAGAAGCTCGTTACTTCATTTCCATCAGATCTCTCCTCAGTGCTTTTCTTGTCTCCATACACAACACTGCTGCTCTATTATAACAAGTCTCAGGGTAGTAAATGTTCTTTGTTGTTGTTGTCTTATAACAGCTTTATTGAAATATAACTTACCATACAATTCATTCAATTAAATGTGCAATTCAATGAATTTCAGCATATTCAGATTGTGCAACTATCACCACAATCAATTTAGAACACTTTTATTACCCTATCCCCCAAAAAACTCATACACATTAGCAGTCATCCCCTTCCTCTCCATCTAGAAAGTAATCTACTTTCTGTCTGTATGGATTTGTCTATTCTGGACATTTCCTATAAATGAAATTTTACAATATGTGGTTATTTGTGAGTGGCTTCTTCACTTTGCATGATATTTTTAAGCTTCTTTCAAGTAGTAGCACATATCAGTGCTTCATTCCATTCTATGGTTGAGTAATATTCCATTGCATGGATATATCACGTTTTATTTGCCTATTCCTCAACTGATGGACATTTAGATAGCTTCCACTGCATATCGGTAAATATTTAACAAAATTAGCAGTCCATTAAAAAAACCCTGACACATAACATTTGCTGTTTCCATGGTATAAACATTCCCATTGTGACTGATTGCAAGCTACATGATGTGACTGAACACAGAATTGGAAAGAGATTTTAAACTAGGCGCTTGTGAGTCCTTATAAGCCAGTTTCAACATATCACTAACCGTCTTTACTGAGAGATCACTCAAGTGACCAGAGACGTGGCTACATGCAGTAAAGTTTCCATACACCATTACCTAATAATAATAATAATAAAAGTAATACAACAGCTAAGATTTACTGGGCACTTTTTATGTGCCAGGCATTATGCTAAACATTTTTTTTTTCTTTTTAAATCTTGATCACCACTCACCTTTTGGAAACTAGCAGCTCCAAATTACCAGGATTCTAAGCTTGGCTTACTGTCTCTTAGCTGGTCTCCCTGCTGTTTATTAAATACTCCGAACTCTTCAGGTCTTGCTTCCTCTACCTGGTAAACTCTTCTGGACAAGGAAGGATGACTGTACTGTGTTTTGCACCCTTCCTCCATGTAATCTACCCCTGCCTCAGGTACATGAATTTGGTTAAAGTCATGAATTGCTCTCATAGGAAACTTTATTTGCTATTTTCGGGGAAATGCAATTCCATTAATATTTACTGAACACCCACAAGGCGCTGGGCAGTGTTAGCAAGTCCCAAGAATCCTGGGAACCAACAATCCACAGTCATATCCCAGAAAAACAACCCTGCCTGTCTCTGAGGGTAAACTACACCCTCGATTCCTCGGAATCCGCTTCAGTTCGGATTCCTGCAAAACCAACGCTACTGTCTCGGCCTCCCACTGGGCTCCCGCTGGGGCCTCCTTGAAACGCTAAAGGATTAAGCGGCGGTGAGTAGGAAGGGTGAGTAGGCGGAGGTAAGGGAGCAAGAAGCGGGGAAGGAACAAGGTGCGCCTCCCTCTTCTAATCTTGTTCGAATCAGGAGTCCTGTACCCAGGCGCCGATTCCAGCCGTCCAGAGACTCTTCCAGGAACCGCTTGGCAGCCTGGGCCGTGGACTTTGGCTGGTGTGGCGTCCGCTGCTCCCTCCTCCCCTCTCCTCCCTCCAGGCTCCGTGCCTCACTCAGGGGCGTGTCCTGCCCTACCTCCCTGTCACAGTGGTCCACTTAACCGGTTACAGCAGCAGTTCCAGCGGCAGCGGCGGCAGCCGGAGCAGGAGCAGCGATAGCTTCGGTTTCCAGAGCAGGAGCTGGGACAGCGGCAGCAGCTCAGTGCCGAGCACCTGTGCGAAGCAGGAGTAGCAGGACCAGGGGGTGGGGTCGGTGCCAGCCACTCTGAGCCAGAGAAGGAAGGGGCACCTCCCGGCCGTGATTCCACTGCTGGGAATAATCTCCAGGGAAGGTGGCACTGAACTGGGAATACTTACTGGTGGGGGTAAACATGTGCAGGAACAGCTAGAGGCCTCGCGACAGGTAAACATTTGGCCCACGAGTAGATAGGCAAGGAAAGCTGTCTGGGACCATGGCAGCCTCCCTCCTGGACTTTGAGGAGGTGGAAACTTTCCTGGACAGGCACCCAGAGTTGTTTGAAGATTACTTGATGCGGAAGGGGAAGCAAGAGATGGTTGAAAAGTGGCTGCAGAGGCACAGTCAGGGTCAGGGGGCTTTAGGTCCAAGGCCCTCTTTGGCTGGTACCAGCAGCTTGGTTCACAGCACCGGCAGAGGTGGCAGCAGCGTTGGTGGTGGAACTGGTCCAAATGCCTCTGCCCACAGCCAGCCCCTTCCTGGTGGTGGGAACTGTGGTGGGGTTCCCCTGAGTCCCAGCTGGGCCAGTGGCAGCAGGGGCAATTCGAACCAGCAGCGGAGAGCTTCTCAGAAGGAGCTAAGGAAGAGTTTTGCCCGCTCCAAGGCCATCCACGTGAACAGGACCTACGATGAACAGGTGACCTCCCGGGCTCAGGAACCCCTGAGCAGTGTACGACGGAGGGCACTTCTCCGGAAGGCCAGCTCCCTGCCCCCAACCACAGCCCATATTCTCAGTGCGCTGCTGGAATCGAGAGTGAATCTGCCTCAGTATCCCCCTACAGCCATCGACTACAAGTGCCACCTGAAAAAACATAATGAACGTCAGTTCTTTCTGGAATTGGTCAAAGATATCTCCAATGACCTTGATCTCACCAGCCTGAGCTACAAGATTCTCATCTTTGTCTGCCTTATGGTGGACGCTGACCGCTGCTCTCTTTTCCTGGTGGAAGGGGCAGCTGCTGGCAAGAAGAGTCTGGTCTCCAAATTCTTTGATGTGCATGCAGGAACCCCTCTGCTGCCTTGCAGCAGCACAGAGAACTCAAATGAGGTGCAGGTTCCCTGGGGCAAAGGCATCATTGGCTATGTCGGGGAGCATGGAGAAACGGTCAACATTCCTGATGCCTACCAGGTAGGACTTTGCATTGTCCCCTTCTCCCAGAGCCCCGCTGGCTTGGGAGATAAGCCTTTGGTTACTATTTGGCATCCAGGAACACATTAATTTAGGTTCTTTACAATACAAATTTTGCTATCTAAATTCTTGAGTTTAGACTACTTAGACTGTTACAACATCTTTGATGTGTTGGTCTTTTCTTAACAGCCAGTGCTTGTGGGAAATTCATGTATCACCCAATAACACCACATGTTTCTCTGTCAAGACACTTTGTCCTTAACACTTTGACACTTTGGCTGGTCTGGCATCCACGGCTCCCTCCTCCTGTCTTTAAGATATCAATGTGTGGTATTAGTACGTGTTTGTGAGTTGCTAGAAAAAGATGTGTGCTCCAGAATTCCAGTGTTAAGATGAGCATTTTGGTGTCTTTGATGCCTTTTGGGGACCATAATGCATTTTCGTTCTCTAATTCAATATTGGAAAGGAAACAAAGTGCCTAACTACTTCCCTGTTCCCTTCTCTGGATTAGAGTTGCACAGGTTACAAGGTAAGGAAAAGAGAAGAGAAATGTCAGGGGGAAAATGGGTCTGTGACCCCATTTGTGCCTTCTTAGCGTCTATTTTAACTGTTTCTATTGTTGAGATTAGAAAGATTGGACAGATAGAGGGACTAGTTATCTTTAGGCTTGAATATAGCATTATCTGTAGTCAGCTTTGATAGGACTGAGCAAGTGGGTTTTTAGTTTCCAAAACAAACAAAAAATATTGATAATTAATTTAGCAACTCCAAAGCCAACAGCAGGGTAAACAAGTTAGTTTCAAGTGGAAAAGGAAACCCAACATGCTGTCATTTGGGTTTTCGGAGTCTTTCATTTTCACAGTAAGTTGAACTTGATATTAGATGCTGGATCTGAAAAACAGTCAGTTTTAATTTCTTCAGTATTTATTCACTGGATGTGATGAAACTGGATGTTATTTTTTATGAGACTTCTTCAGGGTTCATAAGAATTGAAAGTTCTCGTCCTTGATTAGGAAAGTTTTGTAGTCATCTGGTAAGTGCTTCTTCCAGTGGTCTCAGGGAGCTACATGTTATCTAGAGTTTAGTTGCTATTGCTGAAAATAGCAAAAAGAGTGGGAAGGACACTAAAGGTAAAATTTTATCTATTTCATCTGAAAGTTGACAATTTTACATAGAAAACTGACTAGCTTGTACTAAAGCCAAGTTTCATATTTTAATGAGATATCTGTAAACCTAACACTTTAATATTAAAGGATGCTTGTCAAAATGCCATTTTGGTTAACCTTTTATTATAGATTAAGTGCATTGTTCATCATATCTTTCTTGAAGACTTTAAAAGTTGTATGTGAAGCAACCAATGAATGTTTTTCAACAAGTGTTTATTTCTCTACATTCCTAGAAAGCTATGGGAAGAAATATAAGCATTTAATAATTCTTTTGTTTAAGATTCTATAAAAATTTTGTTACAAATTATTTTTAGATAACTAAAACAATCACAAATTTTTTTCTTTCCTATTTTTTTCCACATCCTCATCGTATGCTTGGGCTAAAAAAAAATCCCTTCCTAGTTCAGTAATACTTATTCTAGCCTGGGGTTGCAGCCTTTTCTCTTTATTGCCCTTATTTTAAAAATTCATTCCCAATTGATTTTCTTCCATTTCTATAGCTTTTATTTCTTACTGTCCTCTTTCAGGCCCTAACTTTTATTTCATACTGTCCTTTCTTTAAGAGCATAATTCTCAGCCTCCTCAACAGCTAACTTGTCTTGCTGCTGTCTGGGATTATGGCTGTAGGTGTCATCACAGGCAGGGGAAAGCAGGTTTTCAGCAGCTGCTGCTTCCTGTGGACTCTATCCTTCCCCTGCAGAGTGGAAAGCAAAATTGCCTTTTAATATTTTTGGAAGCTGACATTGGGAAAGAGGAGTTTTTTTCTTTTCCCCCCTAGAATAGTAATCATGGCCATAAAAGGGGACTGGGTTGTTGGGAGGACTGGCAAAAGACAGGTAGGGGAATGGCACTATATGGGTGGGGAATTTACCCTTGGTTTACTTGCTTCCATTTCTATCTGGTTAGAAAGTTTCTCTTTTCTTTTTCCATTGGCTTCTTTTATGTAACTCTGTATTTTTAACTTGGTGTGGTTTTCTTCATGTTACTTATGCTACTTTTCTTTGATAAAGCTACTTTTTTTTTCTTTATTTTGGTACGCCACAGTCATCAATGATGTGATGTTGGGAAAATTTCTTTATCTCCCACAGCCTCAATTTCCTCATCCATAAAATGGGGACAATAATACCTACCTAGCAAAGATTATTTTTGTTTATTTCAATAAAATGAGATATTGTGTCCAAGACCCTGAAATAATTCCTGGGACATTGCAATTACTCAGGGAATGGTAACAGTTTATGAAAATAATGATGATATCTAGTTTGCTGGTGTTCCTTTTCTTTCTCTTTACCTTATTTTCAGTTGTTTTTCTCATTATCTGGAACTGAGATTGAAGTTGGCACATTTTGACCAGCCTCATCCTTTCCATGCTCCACCTTAAATTAAATATTTTAGAACAAGCTTTACATTCAAGGAACATAAAAATATCTATCCTTCCATTCTCTACTTAAAATGTTCCTAAATGTGGTTGGTAACGCCATATTCTAGCCCATCAAAAGTTCTACGTTTTGTTCCTCTTAGTAACACATGCAATATAAACTTTTCATAAGGCTGTCTTAGGAAAGGATGTTGCCTCCTTCCCTAGTTCTAGCATTTCTCCATCCTTTCCCTTTTCTGGTGTTACAGATTTCTCTAAATGAAAACTGACAACCTTCCAAAATGCACATTCTCTTGTCAGGATGTTTTAATTTGTACTATATATATGCAGGCATCTTGAAGTTTCTATGTAAATATGTAACCATCCTTCCTGATTTTTTGTTAACTACTGTATTTTTAAGGTTGTTTCTTGCTCGGCTTCAGATAGTGTACTTTTTTTTCAGGAGGTAAGATTTTTTTTAATCACACAGAGTTTCCACATTCAATCATTTGATAATTACATTGATGATCCTCTTGGGGGTTCCTAAGATGGGCAAGGGAAAGGCATTGAAGACACAAAATTATGATGATAAGCGTGGCATTCTGGAGTTAAGGGTAGAATATTTAATAAAATGCTGAAACTGAATAGAAGTTCTGACTGCCCAAAACCCCTCAGTTTATTTTATTATTTTTCATTACTTTTCTCAATTAGGAAAAAAGTAAATTGCAAGTGAAAAAAAAATTCACTTTTAGGTATCCAGTCTGGATCATAGTGACTGCAGTTTACCTTTCCCTCAGATAGTTATAAGTTATTTAACAGCCCACTTTAATATAGTAATGAAAAAATTGCCCTCAAGAGGTTGAAAATAAGAGCATTCAAGTAACAGATGTTCTCTTTGAGATTATTCTAAGCATTCAGAATATAGTACTTTAAACATTCAAAAAAATTGTGAGGTGAATTTTCGTTAGTGTTGTTAATGATAATACAGGCGTTTGTTTGATGAGCTCGGGTGTGAAAAGCAGCAGTATGTTTTGTCAGATGAACTAAGAAGAGGAAAGGGGATGACACTGAAGGGTTACAGGTGTGCCTGCCTTTCAGAAGGCCTGATCTGTTACACAACAGCTTCGTTTATTCATTAGCTCCAGTAAACATGCACAGAGACAGCCTATTATTCCCAAGGCTTTGGGTAGAGGGCCTTTGGGTATACAAAGGTGGCAGGATATGCTTCTGCTCTCCAAGGGTGTACAGTAGAGGGCCATGTATTGTTCACAAAAACTAGTACCAACCTATACAACTAAATGATGTTAGTCTTGGAGGAGTGTGGAGTCACTTTGTGACTGGGCTCATGATGAAAGACTTCATGGAGGAGATGTCATTCGAGCTATAAATAGGATTGGCTTTTCCAGTTGGAGATGGTTGTGGGGTAGGGAAAAGTGATCCAAGTCCAACAGAATGGCTTCAGCAAAGACACAGTGATGACCACGCACAAAATATGTACAGGGGAGAGTGAGTGGTTTAATATGGCCAAAATACTGCATATGTCATATAATTATTTGCAAAAGTAAGGTGAGGACAAAAGAAGAAAGGACATTGAACACTTGGATAAAGAGTTTGAACTTCACCAATAGTAGGCCTTAGGGAGACACTAAAAACATCTGAGCATGATCAAAGTGGTGCTTGCGTGGTAGCAGCAGCTGAATGGATTGAACAAGGAAAGGCTCAAAGTTGTGGAAATAATTAGGAGCCTACCGTGATGGTCTGGTAGAGCCATGATGAACAATTAAACTCAAGCAGGAATAGTGGGAATGTACAGAAGGAGACAGATGGGAGGTGGCCTGTGGGTGTGGATTTGGGCAAGGAAGAAGGGGGGGCAATGATGACTCAGATTCTAAACACAGGAGTCATGAGAAAGTGTGATACCTTTATCCAGAAGAGGGAGAGAAGCTGGGTTAAGGGGAAAGATTTTAAGTAGGGCCAGCTACAAAATTTGTGGAGCCTAGGGCAAGATGATAAAGCAGGACTCTGGCTGATGTTAAATAAGTCAGTCGTCCTTCCCAAGAGTGTGTCCCCCAATTCATAGCAACCTCCACTCTGAGAGTCCTAAAGGATTGCCACCTCCAGGGTGGGGTGTTCTTAGTATCTGGATTGAGGTGGGGCAAGGGGCCTCTGCTGAGTTGGCTGCCGGATGTGCCATGCTGCTGCCAGCTCTGGGTGAGGAGAACCACAGCCTTGCTCTTCTCTGAGATGGCATGAGGCATGAACCTGCCCCTTTCCAGACCCTCTCCTAGACCCCACCTAAGATCAGAGTGCAATGGCAGACATGGGATGTGGGCCTCTCCCTCAACCCATGTGACTTGGTTGCTACGTCTGGTCTTAGGGCAGGAGTGAGACTGGGGAGGATGGATGGGGCTGGGACACCAGGGAGCAGGGATCAGGTGGCCAAGAACCAGTCCTGCGCAGGCAGTGGGAGGGGAGACTAC